CACCATCACATGACGTATCGGGACTTTTTCCCCCTTCACTAAACAGAGTGTGGGCATGGCCAGCGTTTGATGCATTTGGCCTGTGGGCCGGGAGTTTGACAGCCCTGCTATAAGCTATATTATATGGCACCAATTCAAGTCTGCACAAATTTGGGGTATAATCTAAAATACAAAGCATTAGGTTTTGTTCCCTCCTGTTTTACTTCTATCACCTCCTTTTCATATTTGTACAATAAAAGTATTGGCGAAAAAGCAAAAATACACAACATTCAATTTTATCAGGGACTTCCTATTGGGGGTGGCTGTATTGTTGGAGAAACAGGGTATCTATCTATCTATCTATCTATCTATCTATCTATCTATCTATTTTTATCTATCTATATTTCCTTATCTATATATCTATCTTTATCAATCATTATCTATCATTATCTATGTATGTATCCTTATCTATATCGATCATTATCTATCTATCTATCTATCTATCTATCTATCTATCTATCTATCTATCTATCATATCTATCTATCATTATCTATCTATCATTATCTGTCTGTCTGTCTATCTATTCGCTCTCTTAAGGAGAAACTTTCTGACAGTGAGAACAATCAACCAGTGGAATAGCTTGCCCTCGGAAGTTGTGGGAGCGCCATCACTTGAGACCTTCAAGAAGATCTTGTTTAGCTAGCTAGCTAATCTATTTTGTCATGTTTATGTAGTGTATAATGTATATTGGAGGTGGTGGTTACCCTTTGAGAGCTGTATTTCATTTTAATGTATGCCGATTAGTGTACATCCAAAGCGACAATGAAGTTCTTATTCTAAGTCTAAGTTGTGGCTTCAGTCTGCCGAAATCCCCGCGAGGCTTTTTTTCCCCAAGTTGCTCACCGCGCACCGTCTCTCTGACAGCGTTCAAGTGCAGACCGGGGCTAATATTTGGCACAGGCTTTCCGTGCAGTTCACACACATCATAGGGTCCCTTCCGCCAATCAGACGCGAGAGACTTGGGAAGACGACTCCTCCCATCGCCCAGGTTGGTTGGAGGAAAGCGAAAGTTATCTAGGAAATTTTGGGCGTTTTGAATGCGAAACGCTCCTTTCCTTTCCTTTCCGACACCCCACCCCTCTCCGTTTTCGCCCTCTGGAGTGTTGCAGAGGAGCTGGTTGGAGGCGGACGGAGGCCCCTGCCCAGCTGGTTGTTGCTCGTCCGGACCATGGGGGATCCTGGGAAACCCTCGTCTCGGGTTCAGAACAGCCCTGAGCAACGAACCTCCGAGTCGAAGTTGTCGGAAGGGCTGCATCTGCAAGCAATCGAAGGGTTGTGGGGAGAACCCTTGTGTGAAAAGCATCGCGAGCCCCTCAAGGTTTTCTGCAAGGAGGACTGCGCCTTCATCTGCTTGGTATGCGCCAAATCCCAGAAGCACCGAGGCCACCTGGTACGTCCCGTCGAGGAGGCAGCTCAAGATTACAAGGTAACCCATTAACTTTTGCTGGCCCTAGGGGAGGCGGACGCTGTTACTCTTCCCTGGTTGAGGTGGTGGTGGACTTCTGCCCTGCTTTCACGCACCTTGAGAGCCCGCCTCCTGAATTGGTGCCTTGATTGGATACTTCTAAAAATTTGGCATTGCACAATACTCTTAATTCTAAAGCCACTTGAACAACACTGTTACCGTATATGTGCTGTACAACCCAACTACCATATTATGGCTTAATGTGATGGTGAAGGCAGCAACTGGATTTCCCAGGACTGACTGTATGCCAGATTACGTCTAAGGGTACTGTGCAATCCCAGCTTAATTTATTTATTTTATTTAGTTAGTTTAGTTTGTCAAGGATGTGTGAGAAAGCAAGTATAAATATGAACATGACATATAAACATATAAGTATAAATGGGTATAAATATATACATAATAAATGAGTACGAATAAATGGGAACAGTAGGACAGGGGTGGTAGGCACGCTGGTGCACTTATGCACACCCCCTTACAGACCTCTTAGGAATGAAGTGAGGTCCATGGTAGACAGTTTAAGGTTAAAGTTTTGGGGGATTGAGGATGTAACAATAGAGTCAGGTAGTGAGTTTCAGGCGTTGACCTCTCTGTTGTTGAAGTCGTATTTTCTGCAATCGAGTTTGGAGCGATTATCCTAGCTTTTCCTTCTGAGAAACCTAGACTGATGCCCCAGAATTGGTTCCTTCATCCCCCCAATAAAATCAGTTTCCCAAGTGATTTAGCATTTCAGTAATTGTTGGGGAATAATCCTAAGAGATTTTGCTTCTTCAGAAAGAGATCCAGATCAAGCTACAGAATCTGAAGCTGTGGAGAACGGATGTTGAAAGATCAAATCAGACTCAGGAGAAGCAAATGGCCGTGTATTTGGTAGGTAACTTGTTCATATAGTTCTAAGGAAAACTCTAGCAATTTCTCTTCACTGAAATACATTCCCCACTTTATTGTACATTTCGTAAATAAAATAGTTTTATTTTGAGTGTCTGAAAAATAATCATGAGCAGTTTTCGTTCACTAAATACAGAATGCAGGTTTATAGCTTATAGTCAAATTTTTTACTTTATTTTATTTTACTTTATTTTATTTTACTTTTTAATTTAATTTAATTTTTTTTTATTTCACATTTGGGGCGCCATGGTTTAGCAGTTAAAGACACTGAGCTTGACAGTTGGAAAGCTGATAGCCTGTGTTCAAGATCCAAGTGCTGCGTAACGGAGTGAGCTCCCATTACTAGCCCCGGCTCCTGTCCACCTAGCAGTCTGAAAACATGTGAATGCGAGTAGATAAAGAATTACCACTTTGGTGGGAAGATAACAGCATTCTGTGTATAGTGGTGTATAGCCGTGGTCGCCACATGACCACAGAAAATATCTTTACACAATGCTGGCTCCCTCAGCCAAGAAACGGAGGTCAGCACCGGTACCCTAGAGTTGGATAGCACTGAACAGGGAAACCTTTATCTTTTTTTATTTTACATCTTGTCTTTCCATTAATAAAGGTGGTTTGCTTTAGTTTTCACCCTATGATGTAGGTGAGGCTCTAGTGACTGATTCACCCAAATGAGTTTTGTGAATGTGTAGGAACTTGATCCTGAGACCCATAGTCCTGGTATCACATTCTACTTTCCAGTTCAATGTAACTGTAATATGTGTCTCTCCATGGGGAGGACAACAGAAATCTTCTTAATCATCCCCCTTTCCCCATGCATTCAGGCACATAGAAGTAGTCCTTGTTTAACAGCGAGTCATTTTATGGCCATTTAACTTTTCAACAGCCATAGGACAGGTGCTTTGCTTCATGGTGTAACCAGAACAATCTGGAACTGAACACACTCAAAACTGTAGAAATGATGGTAGACTTTAGAAGAAACCCTCCCATACTACCACCTCTTACAATACTTGACAACACAGTATCAACAGTAGAGACCTTCAAATTTCTAGGTTCTATTATATCACATGACCTAAAATGGACACCTAACATCAAAAACATCAGAAAAGCACAACAAAGAATGTTCTTTCTGCACCAACTCAGAAAGCTGAAACTACCCAAGGAGCTGCTGATACAGTTCTACAGAGGAATTATTGAGTCTGTCATCTGCACCTCTATCACTGGCTTGGTTCTGCAACCCAACAAGACAGACACAGACTTCAGAGAGTAATTAGGACTGCATAAAAAACAATTACTACCAACTTCCCTTCCATTGAGGACCTGTATACTGCACGAGTCAAAAAGCGGGCTGTGAAAATATCTACAGACCCCTGACATCCCGGACATAAATTGTTTCAACTCCTTCCTTCAAAACGACGCTATAGAGCATTGCACACCAGAACAATTAGACACAAGGACAGTTTTCCCCCGAACGCCATCACTCTGCTAAACAAATAATTCCCTCAACACTGTCCAACTATTTACAAAGTCTGCGCTACTATTACTATTAATCTTCTCATCACTCCTTATCACCCATCCCCTCCCACTTGTGACTGTATAACTGTAACTTCGTTGCTTGTATCCTTATGATTTATATTGACTGTTTCCTAGTATGATTTGATTGTTTATTGTACCCTATGACTATCATTAAGTGTTGTACTTTATGATTCTCAACTCTTGATGAATGTATCTTTTCTTTTATGTACACTGAGAGCATTTGCACCAAGACAAATTCCTTGTGTGTCCAATTACACTTGGCCAATAAAGAATTCTATTCTATTCTATTTATGGCTTGTAAAGTACCGTGGCCATCGTAAATGATTACAATGCCCTTCCACCCTGTGACTACTTGTTTGGCAGTTCAGCATTACAACCGGTCAGAGAACATTCTGCAGTAACATAACGGTGCTTTGTAATGATTTTTGCCGATCTCTGGCAATAAACATGCATTCAAATGAATGAGTACACTTAATAGCCATAGCGTTCACTTAACAACTATTGTGAAAAAGGCTGGAAAATTATTTTTGGTCACATGGGTGCCTTGACTTACAATCACAAAGTCTTACAACCTAATTCTGGGCTCAATTATGGTTGTAAGTTGAGGACTATTTGTAATGATCGGCACTAGCAATATATTGACCAATTTAGCATTATTTAATAATAGCAATATTGTGATATAGCATTGCTCCCCGACTTTACATAATACGTTGGTGCTAAAGTATATATATGGTTAATTATATATAAAACAATGTTAGTCTTGTTGACTTTTTATTTTCTTTCTCTGTCGACTGCAGGAAGACATCAAAGCAGAGAGAAGAAAGATTGCACAGGCATTCCAGCAACTCCGCTCATTTCTAGAAGAGCGAGAAAATGGCTTCTTGGCTAAATTGAGTGACCTGGAGAAGCAACAGGATGAAAGTAGCACCAGACTTTCAAACAACATTTCTTTTCTCAATGATCTGATCTGTGACCTAGAGAAGCAGTATTGGAGGCCTGCGGGTGAATTTTTGAAGGTAGACATTCTAGGGTTGTTTTTTAAAAACATAAATTATTGTGGCTGTTTCTCCCTGAACCTGAGCATCTTTGCAAAAATGCTTAGGTGCCAAAGCAAAGATGGCAATCTGCGTTGTGAATTCAGTCATAATTTCAGTAAGAATCTTGTGACATTGGTTTTTCCCAGAATCCCCCTGACAGATGACCTTTCTTCACAAACTAAGTCTAGGGAAGTAGAGCTTCGAACCAGGCTTTCTGCTCGATGGAATATTTCCAAGCATTTCAGGAGGAATTTTGCTTTTAGGAACCACTTCTTGCTTCAGATAATCTCCTTTAGGTCCCTTAGTTACATGCAGGGGCGGGCTTCGAATTTTTTAGCAAGAGGCTCTCTGACCTAATGACTGGCTGAGTGGGTACAGCTCGGTGATCATGTGACTGGGTGGGTGTGGCTTATTTGCCCTAATTACCTAAAAAAGGATAATGTACCAAAGAGTTGTTTATTGCTTTGCACATTTAATTCTTAAATAAGAGACTGGGTGAAACCAGGCTTAATAGCAGTGACTGTGAGAGGGACCTTGGAGTCTTAGTGGAGTTTCTGGTGAGTTATGTGATTCTTATTATTTGGGAATTAACCCTCCTTTATCTAGCTTGACACTTTTACGAGGTGTGAAATGCAAACACCCCTCCAGCCCACTATGCTATTTTTCTTTTGTCTTTAAAAAAGAAAAAGAAAATTGTAAAATCCTCCTGAACAAAGTTGTTCTCGGATCATTTTTTTTCCTCTTCACAAAGTAACTCAAATGTCTCTGGTTTCTCTAGGACCTCAAGGAAACTTTAAGCAGGTATGTGATTTATAATCTTTTGGGGCTAATAATGAATTTGAGTAGTTACAGAAAAATATTTTTTTTTTTTAAAAAAAATGCTCTTCTGTGAGCTCTGTCTAGCAGAGAGGAAATCCCTATTCTTTCTTTTAAAGAGGCCAGATGGAAATTAATTTGGAAACAGTCTGGCTGTCCTTCTGATTTTTCTCTTACCAGCTGCTTGGAGGCAGCCAGACATCAGGGGAAGAAGCCACAGAACTAAAATCATTTGAAACTTCTCTGATCTCCAAGGTATGAAAAGGGTGCACTCCTTTGCTTCCAAGAGAAACCTGTTAACCTGGAAAAAGATCTCAGGGCCATCTCTCAGCAAAGTGATCTATTAATGGAAAACTTCAAGACATTTAGAGGTATGGAAGCTACATTTCTGTAATTGTAGGGTAAACCTTGTTCGTGTGAAATGTTCTCCAAATGGGAAAAAGTAGAGAGGGTGGAAAGAAGGAATGGATTAATTCTTAGGACTTCCTCTAGTTTTGATGAGAATGTCTACTTCCATGAATACTGAAAGAAGTTATCGGGGAATAGCAGAAGTATTCACATTGAAATGTCCACCTCACATTGTCCCGAAGTATTATGGTAATGTTGAGGGCAGTATTTCTCAACTTTGGCAACTTTAAGATGCGTGGACTTCAGCTCCCAGCTAACATAATAGTTGGGAAATTCTGGGAGTTCAAGTCTATAGTTTTCAAAGTTCCCAAGGCTGAGAAACATTGGTTGAGGGTATTATGGAAAATTTAAATGGGAATTCCTGATATTGACTTACCATTACCCAAGACATTTTGCAAAAGGTCCATTTTATGTATGGATCTGCTGTTTTGACTGTGAAAATGCTGTTTTAATCATTTCAGTACTGTTCTTAGCCTATAAGAAAGAGTTTTGGCAGTTGTTTTATACTCAGAACATATCCAATCAAAATACTTTGCTCTACCTGAGGACCAACTACTTGAAAAAGATGATTGGAACCGCAGTTACAAGAAAAGGAGAAATTCTAAAAGAGGAGTTGGTCCAAGGCAGACATCTCCTTGGGGATGATCTGTGGGGGTCCTGTTACACTTCAGGAGACAGGAGATTGTAGGGTTTGTACTAATGATCTTGTGGCAAGCATGTGGCAAGACATTGTGCAAACAAATCTCAATTTTCAATTTTCCTTTTCTGGAGCAGAGACCAAAAACGTTAAAGCCATCCACATGTTGCTGAACTAAATTTCCCAGCAGCATTATCCAGCATTGTCAGTGATGGGGAATGCTGGGAGTCACAGGTATCCCACTTCAGCTCTGGAGTGTGGTGTGTAGGGTTGTGTTACCTTTAAACAAGAAGTTTAAAGATGCGCTCCGAGCTCCTGATGCCACATTTGATTCTTAATTCCATTTCTCAAACAGCTAACAATATATTCTGAAGAACTGCAGAAATTTTTTGAGCAGAAATTCTCTGAATCTTTCTAATTTTTAGATTCTTTCTTTCATAGGTCCTAGACCTCTATGGGGATAATTTTTTAAACTCTTCCCACTGAGAATGATGGATGGATGGATAGACAAACAGATATATGTGTGTGTGTAAAAAATGCAAATTCTCCACTGTGGTCTTGATAGAAGGACCAAATCTTCACCTTTCTCTCTTGTCTAGAATCACAGATGGACGAATTGCAGAAAAGCAAGACCCAAAGACTTAATGCTGCCCTCCTGAGTCAGCCTGATCAGCCCCAGACCTTCTGGCCACCATTTCATAATGATGCCCTGAGAGCAGACAAGAAAGGTGATGCTGCTACCTTTTCTTAATTTGTTTTTTTTTTTTTTTCACTCTTGCATATCTTTGCAGCTTGCAGCTTGGCTAGGATTAAAAGTTTGCTGCTTCTAGGTTTTGGAGAATCTTCATGTTGTAGAGGTGTTCCTTGGGATGCTGCTTTTCGGTAACATGCCCACCCACCCTCACCCCCGCATGAGACCCTACCTGTGAACGATGCCGTGGCATGAAGTCAAACTGTTTGGATGGGCTTCTTGCAAAGAGGCAATGATGCAGGCTAGGCGTGCTTTGAGTATTAACTGAAAGACGCTGTTTCTAGAGTGCTTTGCAAAGCTCAATACATTTCTTTACCTAACAGGTAAATGAGCACACAGAATGCATGGCCCCAAGGCAGGCTTCATTGGGAATTGCCAGATCAGGAAGTTGATGTAGAGCGCCTTCGATAGCCTGAGGCCACACTTAATATAACCTTTGAGAGGAGCTGGAAATGAACTAGCTTGTATCATACTCTGAAACAGAAGGATGAAGTTAATTATCTTTTTTGTGTTAAGTTTATTCTGTGTTGAAGCTTCAGGAGTGATTTGCATGTGTTTCCTACTGCAAAGGGCAAGAAATTTAAAAAGTAGGCCTATTTAGTCAAGGCACCAGGCTAAAAACAGGGCGATGGTGAATTCTAGTCCTGCCTTAGGCACAAAGCCACCTGGGTAACCTTGGGTCTCTCACTCTCTCTCAGCCCAATTCGTCTCACACAGGTGATTGTGTATTAGATGTGTTCACCGCCTTGAGTTACAGATAGTCCTCAACTTACAACCAGCCAGTTAGTGACCATTTGAAGTTAAACAGACCATGAAAGAGAGAGTTGCCACCCTGACTCAAAGTTCTGACATCTGCCCTTACATATCACATGACCATATTTTGGACAATCAGCAACTGGCCCCCATCTATGGCCATTTGCACTTACATGATTGTGATGTACGACGTTTTAACCGGCATTTGCTTCTAGTATCCAACAAAAATGCCCCATAGTGAAAAATAGGTTCATTTAATGACTATGGCATTTGCCTAACAACTGCAGCATTTGTTTAATGACCATGCAAAAATTGTAAAATTGGGAGCGGTCACATGATATGACCCATTTTACAACTGAAATTGCAGGCTCAATTATGGTTGTAAGTAAAGGACTATAATAAAGGTGGGATTAAAAAATTTTTTTAAATCACATGGTTTATTTTTCATAGAATGGAATGGAATAATGGAATGGAATAGCACAGCACAGCATAAAATATAATAATGGCATGGCATGGCATGGCATAGCATAGCATGGAATAGAGGAATGGGATGGGATGGAATAGGGAAAGGAAAAGGAAAGAACAGAATAGAACAGAACAGAATAACAGAATGGAATAGGAATGGAATGGAATAATGGACATGGACATGGACTAGAATAGAACAGAACAGAATAGAATAATGTTATTTTCACTTTGAATATACATTAATTGTTGTACATTAAAATGAAATTTCATTGCATACAGCTCTCATAGGCTCACCACCTCCAATATACACTACAAGTAAATAAATAAATACAAAATTATGCATATGCCCACTTACATTATATGAGTTGCAGAAGGGTTGCAGGAGTCTCACCATGCTTAAGAGATGATGGAGAGAAAGATTAGAAGATGCAGGTGTCAGTAGGTGATCTCCCAAAAAGCAACCGCCTGTCGATATCCTGCGGTTGAAGCTGAGGCTGAGCTGCTGGGCAAATGGAGCACTCCCTTGTTGCGTGTGAGCATTTGCATTGCTTTCCTGGCAGGAAACAGCAATTTGGATTAACTGGATAATTGAGAAGGCAGATTGGAGCTGAGAAGTCCCCATGACCATCCCCCTTTTTTCTCTCTCTCTCAGTCTCCCCAGTCAGTGTGACCCTAGATCCACGTACAGCCAATCCCCATCTCTTCCTCTCCTTGGATCAGAAGACAGTCACGCACCGGGATCACACGCAGGCCTTGCCGGACAATCCTGAGAGATTTGATGCAGAGTTCTTTGTGCTGGGCTGCGAAAGCTTCTGCTCTGGGAAGCACTCCTGGGTGGTGAACATCAACCAGGGGCAGAACTGGGCCATTGGCATCGCCCAGGAGTCTGTGAGGAGGAAGGGGAGCCTCAGCCTGAACCCACAGCAAGGCGTTTGGGCAGTGCAGCAGTGCTGGGGCCAGATGCAAGCCCTGACCTCTCGCTGGACACCCCTGTTCCTGCTCAGGAAGCCCACGAGGATCAGAGTATATCTGGATTACGAGGGAGGATGGGTGGCCTTCTTTGACGCAGAGTTGGATGCTCCCATTTTTACTTTCCCACCCACCTCGTTCAAGCAAGAGAGGATTCACCCTTGGTTCTGGGTGGCATCTGGATCTCAGCTCACCTTATGCCCCTGAAATTATGCCAGGCATTTTGGATTTCAGCAGTTTGAGAAGGCCTTGTGTAACACAAAGCAGTAATGTGACAATTGCTTTGGAACTACTTTGGTTAACTATGTCAGCAGAGAAACGACTACTGTTTGAATTTTTAGTGAAGCATTAAACGTCACTGAAAACGCCAGTCAGGGATATGTTTTAATGGAAGGAGTTGCAATTGTATAAAATGGCTTTTGACTAGCAAAAAGCTCTGATGGAAGGGAAAAAAATAGCGATTTGGAAATGCTTACATAGTTGGACACACTTCTCTCCCAGTAGAGTTGTTCTCCCATACCACTCTGTGGCAGACTACAAAATAAAATAAATGTGCTGGAGTGGATGCCTAGTCAAAATATAAAACTTATATTTCTAGTCCTCGTGGCTGTGCTTCGGAAAAATTGTGAGATGGCAGTTTTAATTAAGAATATAGAATCAAACTGATGGCAACCTGTCTTTTTGGCAAATATGAAGTCAAAGCTTTCAACAGAGAAATTTCTGGGACATTGTAGATAATTTATACTCCCATCTCCCTCTCTGCTCATGCACTGGAGGCAGAAGAGCTTTGTGTCTTGAAACTCCTGCAATCTTCCCTTCCACTCATTTTCTTCTGCTGGAAAGGCTTCCTGTATCTATCCCAATGCCGAGATTTCTGTGTGAAGTAAATTGCATCTCAACTACTAGCAGAATTTGCTTAGTTTTTCCACCTAGTTTTGGAAGTTATCTCTGCACTGAGTTGGAAAAACATGTAAATTTTAAAAATGAATCATGCAAGCAAATACAATGATATATCCATTTATGTAAGGCTATTCCATTGCACAATGCAAATATTTGAATTGTACCGTCATACAGATGATTGGGGGTTTTTTGGTTGCAAGGTTTAACACTTTTTGTAACTAATCTTGCACACGGACACTGACTGAAAAAAAAAATCCATGTCACTACTGTGAATAACACCTAATTGCTTCAAAGCAGCTACTTGTGCTTCATTTTGCAGTATTGATTCACTATTATTTGAATGACCATTTTTGTATTGCCTTGATTAAAAACATGGAACGCAAAATGGAGTCGGAAAGGAAGAAATACTGTGTGCTGCATAGCTTATATATTGTGACATCTCTTTCTAAAGAGGGTCTCCTAGAACAGCGGTCACCAATCGGTGGTCCATGGACCACTGGTGGTCTGCGAGAAACTTTTGGTGGTCTGCAGAAAAATTATCTGCATTTTTAATATTGCACTAAATCAGAAGTCCTCAAACTACAGCCCCTGGGCCGGATACATGCAATGAATATTTGTGTTGCTGCAGAGAGTCTCCCCCTTCGGGGTCATTTTGTGCGGGTCGGAGGGGGGCAGAAATTCCAACTTGGGGTCTGCTTCAGCCTCCTGGTACAGGGCTTTGGTTGAAGGCTGGAGGGAAGTGCCGCTGGTGGCGAAGAACTGGAGGGCCTTGTTCCAGTGGACTGCATCATGGCCTGGAAGTGGCTGACCATCTCAGCCCACTGAGCCTCTAGACACCGGTACCTGGTCTTGTACTCCCGCAGGTCTTCCCTCTGCTTGGAAAACCTATGCTCGTAGTCCTCAGTGAGGCGCTTCTGCTGAACCTCCTCCTCAGTCAGATCCAATCTGAACTGAACAAGCTGTTTTGCCTGCTTTCTTATGGTGGCTGCTTAGCTCCCAACAACTGCTTCCTGTTGGGGCCCTAAGAAGCCCGGGCAGGCAGCCAAGAAGTGGCTGGGAGGGGCGAGTAGAGGCCGGTGAGGCACCCTTCAATGTTAGTGACATCAAGTTGGACACGCCCACCCAGTTACATGACCATCTAGCCACGCCCACCCAGCCGATCATTAGGCAGTTCATATTAGTGGTCTGCCAGATTTAAAATTATGAATTTAGTGGCTCCTGAGGTCCAAAAGGTTGGTGACTCCTGTCCTGGAAGACCAAATTAAAATTCAGAGGCCTTGTCACTGGCTTCATACATCAAGCAATGAGTAAGAATGGCTGACCTACCATAAGTGCAAAATAAGTGCAACACAGTAAGGTTTGGATTTTGCAAAAAATAATTTGATCCATGAGGTAGAATCATATTTATTCAAAACAGCATTTTCCTTGTATATTTGATTGTAATTTTATTGCATTGTAAAGGCTTTCCAGTCAGACTATTGTAAAGAAAAACACCATTTAACAGAAACTAGGTTCCAATGGATACTTAACTGGGCTTAAACATCTGTTGCACTTTAAAGACTAACATATTTATTGCAGCATATATCATTATTTTAGAGATCTGCTTTAATGAAGAACATGAAGCAATCATGGAAGTGGCCCATACAGTGCTTGTAGTGAAAACCTGCTGGCAAAAGTCAAGATTAAGAAACAAAACACAGCTCTCAGTTGTCATAGAACAAAAATAATTATGGAACCCTAACAAAAAGATTGAAGTCAACCAGTACTTAAGACTACATGGCAAGAACTTTTGAGTAAAATAGGACCTTGCAATAAACCTACAATTTTAAACCCATTTCGACTGTATTTCCACAATGGTGGAGGTTTACAAGTTCAAGAGGCAAAATGGATGATTTAAGCCATGGAGATCTTTTTGATATGTACGTTTCATACATGAAAATTCAGATGCCACAATTTTAAGTAAGCTGTCCAAAGTGTAGTGCAGCCATCTGGATGATGGGAACTATTCATAAGTGATCAACTTCTGTAATAATTCAATTACTGCATTTTATAGAAGTAAGCAGTAATGAACCCAGCTACTGTATTTGATAAAGGAGTAAGAAAAGCAGGGCACTCATACATTTATTTTAAAAATACAATAATCCTCCTTTGTTACAACTCTTCTTCAGCTTTAAAGTTTTATTAAGACAAGGGGAATGTGGGAAATGGAATGTTGTTATTAAAAGCCAGCTAGAGTTCTATTTCTTTTGAAACCAGATAGCTGATATCGTACTACATTCACATGTGATCTATAAAAAATAGATGGATGTCAGTTCAAGTTATTTTTCCATACCTTTGGTAGCCAAAAAACAATTAAAGTTCTTTTCCATTTCAAGGAAAATGTGTTGTCTTTAAACTTTAGCTTCACAAGTGGCTCTTACCACTGAGGTTCTTCATATCTAAAAACACTGAAAAAATCCAACTTTGGGAAAAAAAACCCAAACACTATTATTCCTCAGTTGTGTTAAACAATATCACCATTCTACACTCTCATAAGGACACAAATGCCTCTGGCCATACATGGTAGCAGCTCAAGAATATAAATTGATTAAACAGCAACAATATCGCAAGTTTATAATCCTCATTGTTGCAACGATCAGCTGAAAAACATGCTTCATTAGACAACAGAAGTCAGAGAAGGGCTAAACAGATAATAGTATCTTGGTCTTGCAGCTTATTTTTGCTCTTTTCTAGCTCCAATTACATCAACTAATCTATATCTTAGTTTCCATAAGATATCCTGGCCACGTAACCTATTGTCCTTTAATGAATCATTTGAAATTTCTTGGAGCAGAATTTTCTTTTGTTTTCATGTGTGGTGTAAAAACTCACAACAGTCTTACAAGTTTATTACCTGTAATCAATGGTCCCACTGGATGGGATGAGATTTTACTCTCCTGTAAGGAGCACAAAACTGCAGCCTTCATAATGTAGACCAGGAGTCTCCAAACTTTGACAACTTTTAAGACTTGTGGACTTCAACTCCCAGAACTCTCCATACTGGCTGGGGAATTCTGAGAGTTGAAGTCCACAAGTCTTAAAAGTTCCCAAGGTTTGGAGACCCCTGATACAGACTTTCAACAAAGAAATGTTGCAAAAATGCTTATCAGGAAGACTCTATTTCTCGTCCCCTTGAAGCGGGGACATCTGTGCCAGGATTCTTCGCAGTAGTTTTCATGTGGACTCTCCGATGGCTAACTAGGTGGGAGCTTTGGTTAAATCGCTTCCCACACTCCGGACACTCATAGGGCTTCTCCCCTGTGTGGATCCTCTGGTGTTTGTTCAAGTCTGAATTCCGGACAAAACTCCTCCCGCACTCCAGGCAGTTAAATGGCCGGTCCCCTGTGTGCATTCTCTGGTGTGCCAAGAGGGCTGAGCTGTAGCTAAACGTCTTCCCACACAGGAGGCATTTGTACCGCCTCTCTTCCTGGTGGGACTTGCGATGGACCAGGAGCTGATGGAGCATGCGGAAGGTTGCTGGGCAGTCAGAGCAAGCGTGCAGCTTCTCGGTATGCGTCTTCTGGTGGGAGATGAGGTGCGACTTGTGACCAAACCGTCGATCGCACTCAGGACAGATGTATGGTTTTTCTCCCGTGTGGGTCCGCTGATGAGCAGAGAGATTAGAGCTGGTGCTGAAACATTTCCCACAGTCCTGGCACTCGTAAGGTTTTTCCCCCGTGTGGGTCCGTTCGTGGGCCCGCAGTTGGGAGCTCTGCCGGAAGCCCCTTCCACAAATGGCGCATTTGTACGGCTTCTCCCCGGTGTGGATCCGCCAGTGCTTGATGAGCACTGAACCTTCACTGAAACACCTCCCACAGTCTGAGCAGACGTAGGACTTCTCTCCGGTGTGGGTCCGGCGGTGTACAATCAGCGCTGAGCTGGTGTTGAAACTCTTCCCACAGTCAGTGCACTTATATGGTTTCTCTCCAGTATGCAGTCTTCGATGGGTTAAGAGACTAGAACTGTGGCGGAAGCTTTTCTCGCACATGTCACATTTAAATGGTCGATCATTTGGGTACATCTTTCGAGGGCTGTTCTCACAGTCAAAACAAATCTCCGCTGTGAAAGGATTCTGATGCATGTCCAGATCCCTCTTCAGAGTTTTCAATGGTTTAGACTGCAGGAGACCTTCACTTTCCTCAGATAAATTTTTTGTTGGCTGTTCTACCTCAACCAGTAGGGCATCCCTCGGGGGCTGGAGAGTTCCTTCATTACCTTCTCTCTTGATCCAGTTTTCACCTGCTAAAAGGAAAAGAAGCTGCCTGTTGGTCATTTATTCTCCACCGTGAGGCCAAAAGGAATCTGGGATTTTGACCACAGAGGAATAAATAGGGAGGCAATAAAAAGAGGGGAACTTAAATCTCTCCCTGCACTCAAGGCTTTGTATGGTTTATTCCTGATGGAGATAAGTCTTATATTTATTAAAATCTTAAATGTCAAAAGAAATATCACCACCCTGAAGGCAGTTACACAGTCTAGCTCCAGCATTCTAGTTCTTTTAGTACCAAACTGCAAGGTTGAGACAACTGTTGAACTACTGGTTCCGTGCGTTTAAAGGGAAAATTAAAGCCATTTACTGAACATGTACCAAATTCCGCTCTGGAGGAAGGCTGTGACCAAACTCTTAGAGAGGATGGAAGGGAAAGAGCTGGCCATGTAGTATATCACACAAACTAAAAGACATAGCTATGGTAAAAAGAGTGCATGTTTATATTGTTCTTTTTTTTTAGTATTTGTCTTACTTGATTTCAGGGTCTGCTTGCCTAATTCACATGGCAAAGCCATTAATGCATGATGAGAAAAGGGTTTGTTCTTTAGCTACTGTGTTGCAGAGCCTGATGCTGTTTAGAACTGAGAGTGACTGGCCTATACTTACCCAAAAGGTTTCTATATTTGAGAGATGCTTAGAATCTGGATTTCCCTATTCTTGGGAGGGCGAGGTGGTGGTGTATCGGCCTAGAGGTTAAAAAGTTGGGCTTGTCAACTGGAAGTTTAAGACCTGAGCACTGTGCAATTGGTTGAGCTCCCATTACTTTCCCCAGTTCCTGCCCACCTAGCAGTTTGAAAACATGTAAAAGCCAGTAGATAAATAGGTACCACTTCGGTGGGAAGGTAACAGAGTTCCATGCACCTTGGTATATAATTATGCCAGCCACATAACCATGGAAGTGTCTTTGGACAATGTAGGCTCCCTTGAAACAGAAAAAGATGAGTACTGCTCCATAGAGTCGGACATGACTGGGCAAGGAAAACC